AACGGTAGCACAAGCAGGTGTGTACAACAGAGGTGCAGGTGTAGCGAAGCAGTCAGCGGTAGCCTCCGCTACAGCTGCGTTGAATAACAGAACGCAAAACTCAAGAAATGAAGGCTCGATACTCTGTGTAGCAATCGCTGGAAAAACACGCTGTCTAGCTGGCAGCAGCGGTCTCTGTCAAGACTTCTTACTCCAGACCACGAACGAGGGACAACTGAGGGCGATGTTCCAAACCGTCTTGAGCTATTGTCAAGGTACAACTGGGGAGGGCGAGAGAAACAGAAAAGGCCAAGAGACCAAACACTCTCATACGAATATAAGTCAACACGAATGAGGTGAAGATGAGTCGTGAGAGAGATGTATCACACAGACAGATACCTGCATGGCTGTGTGTCACCTGTGAGGCTGTGAGCTCAACTGGTGTCTGTACACTGGTGACTGAGTTATATACGAACAACCAGGTGACAGTGAGTGGCAGGATCATACCTGATGCCCCTTCGTGACGCCTCTGCTTTCCTGGTGACACATAAACATCGCCAAACTCTTCATACCGTGAGTCAAAAACTGCATCATTTGTGACGTGACTCTCTGTGGCACGCGACACTGCACCAAGAATTATTTCTTTCTTTTACTATCAAAACACGAGAGTGAAAACCTGGCAAAGATGATCATTATATTCGATGGTCTACAGTACCGATAGGTAGATGATGGAAATGAAGATATTGGGATGGGGAGGGATCAGTCCCTTAGACTGACCACTCCCAGATTTGCTTTATCTGCAGACTGAGGGACTGAACACCTCAAACTGTTCCAGACTGAGGGACTGATCACCCTATATCTACATCACCACTACTTCTACTGTCTTCATTGTATTTCCGCTGAGCCTTTATATATGGCTCTGTGCAGTCCATCCCGGGTTGATCCAAGTACGAGCTACTCTCCCCTTCCTCAGATCAAACCTCATTACCTTAAATTCCCCAGGCGCTGCATGAGTCCCTTAGGTTTAGCGCTTCCCGTGAATATACTACTAATATTAATGATAATGATAATAATAATAAAATAACAATAATAACAATAATAATAATAATAATAATAATAATAATAATAATAATAATAATAATAATAATAATAATAATAATAATATGAAGAAGAAAAAAAATAACTGTATTAATAATAATAATAATAATAATAATAATAATAATAATAATAATAATAATTACTGGGAATTAAATGAGTCGTTTCAATAATAATTACTGGGGATTAAATGTGTCGTTTCAATAATAATGAAAGTATTGACTGAGTGATTTGCACTGATTCTTGAAGAATATTTTACCCAAAGTCAGCATCATGTCAGCATTATGTCAGCATCATGTCAGCATCATGTCAGCATCATGTCAGCATCATGTCAGCATTATGTCAGCATCATGTCAGCATTATGTCAGCATCATGTCAGCATCATGTCAGCATCATGTCAGCATCATGTCAGCATCATGTCAGCATCATGTCAGCATTATGTCAGCATCATGTCAGCATCGTGTCAGCATCATGTCAGCATCGTGTCAGCACCATGTCAGCATTACGTCAGCACCATGTCAACATCATATCAGCATTCACGTCAGCATCCATTTCAGCAACATGTCAACATGTCAGCATGCATTTTAGCATCATGTCAGGATTGTCACAATCATGTCAGCATCATGTCGGTATCCATGACTCATCTATATGAGGTATCAACGGAATGGTACCTGTTACCGACATGTAGATAAATTAGACACATGTGCAACTCTTGGGTATCTTTATTGAGGAAACGTTTCGCCACACAGTGGCTTCATCAGTCCATACAAAGGAGAATCTTGAAGAACAGGAGGAGAATGAGGTAATCAGTCCCTCAGCCTTGAATAGAATACGGAGAAGCAGCTTATAAACCGTAGGCAGGAGAGGTGCAGCAGTCGTACACTGTCAGACACTGCAACTTCTTGGGATCTTAATACTTGGGAATTCTTCACTTGCCTAACCCTTGGGCACGACCTACTTCCACATTGAACAAATGTGACACCACCTACGTCTGCTGCACCTCTCCTGCCTACTTTTTATAAGCTCCTTCTCTGCACATATGCCGTATTCTATTCAAGATTGATGGACTGACCACATCGACTCAAGGTTGAGGGACTGATTACCTCATTCTCCTCCTGTTCTTCAAGATTCTACTTTGTATGGACTGATGAAGCCACTGTGTGGCGAAACGTTTCCTGAATAAAGATACCCAAGAGTTGCACATGTGTCTAATTTATCAACATGTCGGTTCTCTGAACCATTCATCTATAATACCGCTTGTTCTTGGTACGTCGTATGACTAGTTAATCCCAGACTCACTAGGGAATTACAGCACGTGACTGTTCGGTCTCCTTACAGCTGCTGTACCTGCTTACCTAGCAGTAAATAGGTACTTAGTTGTTAGAAGTTTCTCCTGGGTGGTACATACCTTAGATAGAATTGGGCTTTCAAATGAGAATATTTATATAACGTGCTTAAAATATCTAAGACAGGACTCGCAGCAATGGGTTCAAACTGGAAAAAATTAGATTTAGAAAGAATATAAGAAAGTATTGGTTTGGTAATAGAGTTGTGGATGAGTGGAACAAACTCCCGGTTAGCTTCATTGAAGCTAAACTCGCGTGTAGATTTAAAAAAAAAAATAGGTTAGGTGGCCTGGTCATGGACCGGTCCGCGGGGACGTTGATCCTCGGAATGCCCTCCAGGTAGACTCCAGGTAAACCATACCATGGGCGGGGTTAGAACCCGCGGTCAGAGAGTCATACAGCTCCAGACCGTTTGCAATCGTGTCATTACGACTTCGCGAGTCAATTAGACAGGTACATGAGTTTGTGTAGGTGGATGTGAACTGGACCCAAACCAGCATGACCGGACCTGCTACTGTCCCTTTTTTTTAAGAGCAAACACGACAAAGGCCCCAAACTAAACTACGAGGCGACACCCAAGGCTTTTTCGATGATTCACAATCAAAAGCAGTCCAAGACTTCTTTGGGAAGTCTCTCACAAATGCGTTCCGTGCTGCATCACCTGAGGACCGCAGCAACAAACTGAGAATTTGGAAGTCTGAAGGAGGGGCTGCCGTGCCAGCATCACCCTCGTGCAGCCACAACCAGAATTTAGTCTTACCTGGAATGTACCTGGAGATCTTAAGATCTTAACGTAGGTGCCAACTTTCCCCATGAATTGTAACAACGAGGCTTTCTATGCTGGAAAAAGACCCAGTAGTGAAGATCTGAAAGAGAGCCAGTAAGACCACACAGTGGAAATGGGACCCAGGAAAAAAGTCACAGAAAAAAAGATTAAGACACATGTGGAACAGTCGGATATCTTTATTGTTGGAACGATGAAGCCTACACAGTAGGCTTCATCAGTCAGATACAGAGTGAAATGAAAATGATGTAATCAGTCCATCAACCTTGGAGAAAATAGTATTTGAGGTGGCCAGTCCCTCAGCCTGGCTGAGGGACTGACCACAAGAGCTACAAGAGCAGGATTACGAGGGTAGCCCTGCTCTTGTAGCTACAAGTACTGTAGGTAATCTCACACACACTGAAACATGTACGCTACAAGTAGTGAGAAGCAGAGTCACTGCAGACTTACAAATTAAGTATATTTAAACTTACAAAGTTGATACATTTGAACTTACAAAGTTGGTACTCAGAGAGACGTAGTGAGCCAGCGTGAAGTACTCAGCTACATACCGCGTTGCTCAGGGAATGAACATAATTCAGTGACATAGCAACTATGCCTACTCACCTGATCTGTGGAAAGTGTGAGTGTCTGTACTCACATAGATGTACTCTCCAGTTGTACTCATTGTACTCATCTACATTTAAGCTACTACTTCTGTTACTACTACTACTACTACTACTGCTACTGCTGCTATTACTACTACTATTACTACTACTACCACTACTACTACAACCACTACTACTACTACTATTACTACTACACCTAATAATAATAATAACCATTATAACCATTACCACCATAACCATTAAAATCCCATTACCATCCTCTCCATCACTGCCTCCATAAGCATCTTAACAATCACCAAAGCCTTGCATGTCAAACATTTACCAAGATTTCTGCTTCTCCCTCAAAAAGTGCTTAGATTTAGCTTTTCTCAAAGCGACGCTGAGGAAACTATCAAATATAACAAAGACATATTTCCAGCATATCAAAAGTGGTGATGATCCGTCATATCAGAGAGAGAGAGGGAGGACCCCACCCTCCAGCGTTGACCGGCTCACTTATATATAGCCATGAGTCTGTGTACAGACATCAGTTGAGCTCACAACCTCTGAAGTGACACAGCCATGAAGGTACTGGTCTGTGGCGCAACTTTTCTTTAGCAAAACTGTGTTCACAATCAGTTTTCCTTGTATATCAGTAATAATAATAATAATAATAATCTTTATTTTTACAAGTAGCTGACAACAGTGATATACTATATACAAAGCCCCTGGTAATGCAGAGCATTTCGGGCAACTTAAGTTAATCTTGACCCACACCCATCGGCAAACACCCAGGTACCTACTTGCTGCTAGGTAAACATGGCCACCAGGTGTAGGGAAACACGCCCAATGTTCCACCCACACCAGGGGTCGGTCTACGGACAGTGTGTGGTATTCAATACCGACAAGATGATGACTTAGATACATGTTCAACATCTGGGTATCTTTAGTCTGTAGACGTTGTTCTATCCAGTGGCTTTATCAGTACAATGTAAGGCCATAATATGAGGAAGGTTAAAAATCTTCGTGACCAATGACCCACTCAGACATTAAACTAATCTCCATATTGATAGCGTCGCTAATGTTGTAGCTAAGGTTAATGGCCATATTAATGCTCCCCTGTAAAAACAAGCAATTACTGTGGTAGTATAATTGATGTTTTTCTTCTTCCTCAGACAATAGTTCTGGTAGTTATAGTCATCGTGGCTGCGTCGGCGGAGCCAGAAGGTGGCTATGGTGGTCTTGGGTCTGGTGGACCTGGATCTGGTGGACCTGGATCTGGTGGACCTGGCTCTGGTAGCCTGGGCGCTGGAGTGCTAGGTACCGACGGGCTAGTAGGTCAGGCTCAGTATGTATCCTCGCCATTTAGAGGACAGGGTGCTGGAAGACTGGGAGGAGGAGGAGGAGGAGATTACGGCTACGCCCCCGCCAGTTACAACTTCCAGTGGGACGTTAACGACAGTCCCTCAGGCAATTTCTACGGTCACGGAGAAAAGAGGGATGGTGACAATACCCAGGGCAGGTGAGTGTAGGAGAGGGATGGTGACAACACTCAGGGCAGGTCAGTGTTGGTGACAACACCCAGGTAAGGTGAGTGTTGGTGACAACATTCAGGGCAGGTGAGTGTTGGTGACAACACCCAGGGCAGGTGAGTGATGGTGACAACACCCAGGGCAGGTGAGTGATGGTGACAACACCCAGAGCAGGTTAGTGATGGTGACAACACCCAGGGCAGGTTAGTGATGGTGACAACACCAAGGGCGGGTGAGTGTAGGAGAGGGATGGTGACAACACTCAGGGCAGGTGAGTGTTGGTGACAGCACCCAGGGCAGGTTAGTGATGGTGACAACACCCAGGACAGATTAGTGATGGTGACAACACCCAGGGCGGGTGAGTGTAGGAGAGTGATGGTGACAACACTCACGGCAGGTGAGTGTTGGTGACAACGCTCAGGGCAGGTGACTGATGGTGACAACACCTAGGGCAGGTGAGTGGTGGTGACAACACTCAGGACAGGTGAGTGATGGTGACAACACCCAGGGAAGTGAGTCTAGGAGAGGGATGGTGACAGTACCCAGGGCAGGTGAGTGTAGGAGAATGATGGTGACAGCACCCAGGGCAGGTGAGTGATGGTGACAGCACTCAGGGCAGGTGAGTGTTGGTGACGACAACACCCAGGGCAGATGAGTGATGGTGACAACACTCAGGGCAGGTGAGTGTTGGTGACGACAACAGCCAGGGCAGATGAGTGATGGTGACAACACTCAGGGCAGGTGAGTGTTGGTGACGACAACAGCCAGGGCAGATGAGTGATGGTGACAGCACTCAGGGCAGATGAGTGATGGTGACAACACTCAGGGCAGGTGAATGATGGTGACAACACTCAGGGCAGATGAGTGATGGTGACAACACTCAGGGCAGATGAGTGATGGTGACAACACTCAGGGCAAGTGAATGATGGTGACAACACTCAGGGCAGGTGAGTGATGGTGACAACTCTCAGGGCAGGTGAGTGTTGGTGACAACACCCAGGACAGGTGAGTGATGGTGACAACTCTCAGGGCACTTGAGTGTTGGTGACAACACCCAGGGCAGGTGAGTCTACTGTCTGGAAGACATACAATAAGCCCAGCCGGAGTTAATCAAAGCCAAGTAGACAGAAGAAGTATTTTAATACAATATTTTTCTTAAGACTAGAACTATCCTCGTCTTCCCGGGGTCTTATTACTTTCCAGTTCACAGGAGCTGTATGACCCTTACGGGTCGTAGTAATAACAATATACCTTTATCTCCCACTGATATCTCTCACTCTCTCCTCCAGTTACTACGTACAACTACCGGATGGTCGTAAGATGGTAGTTAATTACGTCGTGGATCAGTTCGGCTACAACCCCACCGTCACCTTCGAGGGCGAAGCCCAGTTCCCCAGTGGTACTGGGCAAGGTACTGGGTCTCAGCAAGGTTACTACCAGTAGATCACTCACACTCTTCCCAGCAACACTCTCAGACCAGTGGTACTAGGCAAGGTACCGGGTCCCAGCAAGGTTACTACCAGTAGATCACTCACACTCTTCCCAGCAACACTCTCAGACCAGTGGTACTAGGCAAGGTACTGGGTCCCAGCAAGGTTACTACCAGTAGATCACTCACACTCTTCCCAGCAACACTCTCAGACCAGTGGTACTGGTCAAGGTACTGGGTCCCAGCAAGGTTACTACCAGTAGATCACTCACACTTCCCAGCAACACTCTCAGACCAGTGGTACTGGTCAAGGTACCGGGTCCCAGCAAGGTTACAACTAACACTCTTTTCAGCTCCATCCTCAGCCCAGCTTTCTTTTTTTCAAGTAATCCCAAGATGGCTGACGTTTCATAAGACATGTCTCAATTCCTCATCTTGTTAATGTTTTTTTGATGTTTCGAGAATTTAAAAAAAAAAAAGAGAATAAAGACATATAAATGAATATGATTTTACTTAACCAGGCTTCTCTCTCTCTCTCTCTCTCTCTCTCTCTCTCTCTCTCTCTCTCTCTCTCTCTCTCTCTCTCTCTCTCTCTCTCTCTCTCTCTCTCTCTCTCTCTCTCTCTCTCTTTTTCTTTTTTTCTTTTTTTTTTTTTTTTTTTTTTTTTTACACAGGGTTTGACAAGGTTAAGATCCCTAGCTTTATTGACAAGCTATTTACAGGTTAAGGATTCCTAACTTTATTAACAAGCTAAGAGCTGTTACCTACATCAGCTCATTTGAAAGCATTTTTATTGTTATGAGACATACAAGTAGGAACAGGATGAAGTTGGAGCCATCTGTGGGCCAGCATTTTCATTTGATCAACTGACTTTATCTCGTTGACATCATTATGCTGTACGAATGTGTTCCATACTCGAGTCATCCTGGTATGTATGAATCTCAGATGGAGTGATGTTCTGGAGAAGGGTACTGCCAGAGTGAAGTTGCTGCTTTCTGCCCGTCTTGTGGCATAAAAGCTTGTTTCACGCTGTCCTCGAAGTGGATCCAAGTGTGGTACTTTGACAATATTGGCCTTGTACATAACAGTAAGGCCACCCACATCCCTCCTGTGTTGAAGGCTCTGCTGAAATGCCAGATCTATCCAGGATGGTCCAGGCAGAGATGAGACGTCTTGCTCTGTTCTCTACTCTGTCAAGCAATCGCAAATGAGAGGGGGGGCAGGCAAACCAAGAAAGTGGAGCATACTCAAGGTGTGAGCGTACTTGTGCCTCGTACAGAATCTTGCAACTCCTACTGTCAAGCAGATGCGAGATACGCGAAGTGCTGTAAGCTTCCTGGCTGCCTTGTTTGCAAGATTTACAACATGGTTCTTCATGGTTAGTTTGGAGTCAAATTTCACCCCAAGGATATCAACTTCTTCTCCAGGTGCCAACACCCTCCCATTCATCCTTACTACTGCACCAGCATTACCATCATGGTGCCTAGAGACGATCATCATTTGCGTTTTCTCAGGTGCAAATGTTACTTGCCATGTATTTCCCCAAGCTGATATAGCTCTTAGCTGGTGATTGATGTAGCTTAGAGCAGCTGGCATTTCTTCTCTTGGATAAGTGAATGTCAATGTACAGTCGTCTGCATATGCATGTGATTCTGGGATGAGATGAAAAAGGTCGTTGAAGTAGACATTCCATAACAATGGTCCCAGCACGCTTCCTTGTGGAACACTTGCCCCAATAGGATATCTTGCTGATTCCATTCCACTGAGAACTACACTTAGAGATCTACCATGAAGGTAATCACTGAGGAGACGTAGTGTAAAGCCTGCAATTGTCTCTCTCTCTCTCTCTCTCTCTCTCTCTCTCTCTCTCTATGTATCTATCTATCTATCTATCTATCTACCTATCTATCTATATATTTGTCTACTATTATACTCAGTGGGAAGCGCTAAACCCGTTAGGGTCGTACAGATCCTGGGTACTTGGCAGCAATCAAGTTTGATCGTCCCCAGGCAACGCCCCTGCAGTTTCTTCCTGACACACTTCCTCCTAGTCTCCCGTACACCATCACTCCTATTAATGCAATGCACTGAGTTTGCCTTAACCGTAAGGCCTGGTCTGGGACCGGGTCGTTGGGGCGATCCTTCTATCCTCTAATACTTTCTAGTTCCGTTTCCCCCCCCCCCCGTCCTCTCTAGGCCTAGTTCTCTCATAAGCGTCTGCACTCCCTCCAGGTCTTTATGTAGTTTATTCAGTGTTGATGCACCATGGTAGGTCTGACCAGTGAGGGGGTTTTTCAGCACTTATTTCCCCCAGTCTATACTATGTCTCTGGTCTCATTTCCTCTTCTCCAATTTTCATAACTTTGGATTTCGTGGGGTTGAATTCCAGTAGCCACTTGACTGATCAATCCTGGTTTTTTTTCACTTCCGTTTCGTATCACTGCCTTGTCCTCCCCGGTTATTATTCTCATTAATTAACTCATCCTCTACGAAGAGGGTTCATCGGTTTTTGTCACTTACGGTATGTCGTTCCCGTATACCAAACATAATGTGGTATATCGTCAATAACATGACAAAATACCGGCTCCAGTATTGGTTCTTGTGGTACCCCGCTTGTCACACTTGCCCATTCTCATTACCTCCCCGAATATGAATCTTTGGTCTCCTTCACATCAGACACTCGCTGAGGGACTGTTATCCCCCAAGAAAAGGTCTAGCGATACCGAGATATGATAAAAGACACTTATATACAGTTCAGGACATTTATTAAATGTTCTCAATTGTACTTAATGTTCGTTTTTCCCACACTGTTATCCCTGCCTCTGCTTCTCTAGTTTTTGGGTCAGTCACCTGAGCGGTAGTGTCAAATGCCTCCTTGCGGTCCAGCAATATGCAGTACATCCTTCATTCTTTCGTCCCACCCCAGTCACCTCCTCATACAACTTAAAATAACTACTTTGAGTTTTATAATGTCCCCATTTTTTATTTGTTACCTTGAAGTGACTGATAAAATAAATCGTCCAGTTTCTTACGAGTTATTAGGGTTTCCGGGGCTTATTCCTCCGGCAGAATTGAAGGTGGGTAGGGCAAATAATTTTTTTTAGTGGGTCTGGGTTTGAGGAGGACCTTCCTAGCACGGGCCAGTAGGTCTAATGCAGTGCTCCTCCTTTCTCATGTTCTCCCAAGATTTTTCTTCATGACTGGAGAATGCCTCATCCGGTCGGCTTCAGACTCTCAGCGCTGGTGACCTAGAGGTCGAGGGAAGGTTCGTTGCGGCAGTTCGCGATTCTGACGCCGTGGAGAGGCTCTTGATCTAGGGAACTGGAGCTACTCTCCATGTCCTTCGGTGAAAAGCTTAATTCCCTTCCATTTCCCCAGGCGCTCTATGACCCCTGCCGGTTTAGCGCTTCTCTGTATTAATAATAATAATAATAATACCGAAACTATTATCCAGAGGGCTGAGGAGGGGTTGTTGAGATGGTTCGGACATGTAGAGAGGATGGAACGAAATAGAATGACTTCGAGAGTGAATAAATCTGTAGTGGAGGGAAGGCGGAGTAGGGGTCGGCCTAGGAAAGGTTGGAGGGAGGGGGTAAAGGAAGTTTTGTGTGCGAGAGGATTGGACTTCCAGCAAGCATGCATGAGCGTGTTAGCAGCGAATGGAAACAAATAGTTTTTAAGACTTGACGTGCTGTTGGAGTGTGAGCAAAGTAACATGAAGGGATTCAGGGAAACCGGCAGGCCGGACTTGAGTCCTGGAGATGGGAAGTACAGTGTCTGCACTCTGAAGGAGGGGTGTTAATGTTGCAGTTTTATAACTGTAGTGTAAAGAACCCCTCTGGCAAGACAGTGATGGAGTGAATAATGTCGAAAGTTTTTCTTTTTCGGGCCACCCTGCCTTGGTGGGAGACGGCTGTGTTAATAATAATAATAACAATACTACTACTACTACTACTACTACTACTACTAATAATAATAATAATAATAATAATAATAATAATAATAATAATAATAATAATAAATAAAAATTATAATAATTAATAATAATAATAATAATAATTTTTATTACTATTTATTACAAAATAAATAAACGCTAATTTGAGGCACCTGAAAATACACGGTAGAATTTATACAGTGAGAGGAGCACCTTGGAAGCTGAATCATCCAGAATTACCTACAAATTATAGAATGGCTTGTGGGCAGTTAAAAGTTCAGCTCCACGAACTGAGTGAGACACCAGAATTATTGACTGCAGATAATGATATAATTAATGATCAGTTAAAGAATAAATAGCAGTGGCAAAGTATTGAGAGTTGCGCTTCTCACCGCTCGGTTCCGGGTTCGATTCCCGGTTAGGGTAGTCAGTATATATTCTCTGAGAGGTGCACATCTCTCAGCGTATATACACTGAGAGGTTACTGTAATTCCTATTTTAGGGCTTAAAGTATTCTTGATTTTCGGTGAACAGGTGATATTCGCAGTCTTGATGACCCTTTGAGTAATCGACAGGATTAGTAATCACACCCTTGAGTGTTACTCAGATAGTGTACGACCCCATGGCCAGGCACAGTGCCTGGCCATGGGGTCTCCTCTCTCTCTCTCTCTCTCTCTCTCTCTCTCTCTCTCTCTTTCGTGCTTCTCTGAGGTTCGTTCGTACATTCTCATCCTCCATTTCGCAATTCCGTATCCGGTCTTCTCTTTAGTGTCATGAACTTCATAGCCTTGTACTAGTAAGGGTTGCAGTCTATCATCCATTTGTTAGATCAGTCATGCAGTTAGAGCATGTGATTAATGGTCTTCAACTTAATGGTCTTCAACCTTAGTAAATCCAAGCGCCACCTGTGGAACTATTCATGCGGTTAGTGAAAGTCTTCTTGCGGACTTCCCTGTCTTCTCCAGCACTTATTTTCATCGTTAGCTTTACGTCATTCGCTCAATAGGTACGTTGTTTACTTAAGCCAGAGAGAGTGCTTCGTCCTGGTACACTTGTTGTCCCGGGACCAAGGCCTATGAGAGGGGAGGTGGGATCCAGCCGGTACATTGGTCCGGGATCCGGCTGTGAATCTCTGAAAGGGCACCATAGCCATAGATATTTTATTTTGATTTTTTTTATTTAATTATTTTTTTGGTAATTTCAACCACTTTTAGTTTATTTAGAAAGATAATTATGTAAGATTCACCTAGACTGGGGACTTCAGCCTGTCCCCAGGGGCCACAAAGTAGTCTCGTTCCGTCTCGCAAAATTTCTCTTGGAGGACCTGCCCGGGACCTTGATCCCTTCACGTGCATGAAGTGCATTTGAGGTGATCAGGGCCCATGCACTAAGAGTCCCAGTTGTATACATTCATGTTTATTTCCCTCAGTGTTCCCTGAGTGTCCGTGGTTCAATCCCAGTACCAACAATACCACCAGTCCGATAACATTCTTCTTTGCAAATATACAGGGTCTAAAGCCAGCTACAAACAACAAAATACCTTTCATCCGTGGACTGCTTGCAGAGGCAAAGGCAATGTTCGCGGCTTTCACTGAGACCCACATAAAGGATCACTTGGACAACGAAGTATGGATCCCAGGTTACAACCTATACAGATGTGACAGAGTGAACAGGCAAAAGGGGGGGGTTGGCCTGTACATTGCAGAGTCACTTGTTTGCACAGAACTGCTTAATGCCTCAAATGACGTAGTGGAAGTTTTAGCAGTAAAGGTCGAGAACCAAAACCTAGTCATTGTGGTAGTCTACAAGCCTCCGGATGCAACATCCCAGCAATTCCAGGAACAGCTGTTAAAAATTGACCACTGTCTGGAAATCTTCCAGCTCCTGCACCCAACATCTTGCTCCTGGGGGATTTCAACTTAAGGCACCTAAAATGGAGGAATATAGCAAATAATATTGTTGCAGTAATAACACCAGGAGGCAGCTCTGATGAAAACTCACACTCACACGAGCTTTTAAATCTCTGCACAAAATTCAATTTAAACCAGCAAATAATAGAGCCTACAAGACTGGAGAATACACTAGACCTCATCTTCACTAACAATGATGATCTGATAAGAAATGTCACCATATCAAAAACAATATACTCAGATCACAACATAATTGAGGTTCAGACATGTATGCATGGAGCCCCAGACCGACAAAATGAGACTAGTCACGAGGGAGCATTCACCAAATTCAACTTCAATAACAAAAACATAAAGTGGGACCAAGTAAACCAAGTCCTAACCGATATAAGCTGGGAAGATATACTAAGCAACACAGACCCAAACTTATGCCTAGAACAGATTAACTCGGTGGCACTCGATGTATGCACAAGGCTTATTCCTCTAAGAAAAAGGAGGAGTAGATGTAAAATAGAAAGAGACAGGCGCTCCCTTTACAGGCGACGGAAAAGAATAACAGAGCGGCTAAAAGAGGTCAATATATCTGAAATGCGCAGGGAGACACTGGTCAGAGAAATAGCAAGCATCGAACTAAGCTAAAAGAATCCTTTAGGAGTCAGGAATCGCGGGAAAACTAAAAGCCATAAATGAAATCGAAGAAAACCCAAAGTATTTCTTCTCCTATGCCAAATCAAAATCGAGAACAACGTCCAGTATTGGGCCCCTACTTAAACAAGATGGGTCCTACACAGATGACAGCAAGGAAATGAGTGAGCTACTCAAGTCCCAATATGACTCAGTTTTTAGCAAGCCGCTAACCAGACTGAGAGTCGAAGACCAAAATGAATTTTTTATGAGAGAGCCACAAAATTTGACTAACACAAGCCTATCCGATGTTATCCTGACGCCAAATGACTTCGAACAGGCGATAAATGACATGCCCATGCACTCTGCCCCAGGGCCAGACTCATGGAACTCTGTGTTCATCAAGAACTGCAAGAAGCCCCTATCACGAGCCTTTTCCATCCTATGGAGAGGGAGCATGGACACGGGGTCGTCCCTCAGTTACTAAAAACAACAGACATAGCCCCACTCCACAAAGGGGGCAGTAAAGCAACAGCAAAGAACTACAGACCAATAGCACTAACATCCCATATCATAAAAATCTTTGAAAGGGTCCTAAGAAGCAAGATCACCACCCATCTAGAAACCCATCAGTTACACAACCCAGGGCAACATGGGTTTAGAACAGGTCGCTCCTGTCTGTCTCAACTACTGGATCACTACGACAAGGTCCTAAATGCACTAGAAGACAAAAAGAATGCAGATGTAATATATACAGACTTTGCAAAAGCCTTCGACAAGTGTGACCATGGCGTAATAGCGCACAAAATGCGCGCTAAAGGAATAACAGGAAAAGTCGGTCGATGGATCTATAATTTCCTCACTAACAGAACACAGAGAGTAGTCGTCAACAGAGTAAAGTCCGAGGCAGCTACGGTGAAAAGCTCTGTCCCACAAGGCACAGTACTAGCTCCCATCTTGTTCCTCATCCTCATATCCGACATAGACAAGGATGTCAGCCACAGCACCGTGTCTTCCTTTGCAGATGACACCCGAATCTGCATGACAGTGTCTTCCATTGCAGACACTGAAAGGCTCCAGGCGGACATCAACCAAATCTTTCAGTGGGCTGCAGAAAACAATATGAAGTTCAACGATGAGAAATTTCAATTACTCAGATATGGTAAACATGAGGAAATTAAATCTTCATCAGAGTACAAAACAAATTCTGGCCACAAAATAGAGCGAAACACCAACGTCAAAGACCTAGGAGTGATTATGTCGGAGGATCTCACCTTCAAGGACCATAACATTGTATCAATCGCATCTGCTAGAAAAATGACAGGATGGATAATGAGAACCTTCAAAACTAGGGAGGCCAAGCCCATGATGACACTCTTCAGGTCACTTGTTCTATCTAGGCTGGAATATTGCTGCACTCTAACAGCACCTTTCAAGGCAGGTGAAATTGCCGACCTAGAAAATGTAACAGAGAACTTTCACGGCGCGCATAACGAGATAAAACACCTCAATTACTGGGAGCGCTTGAGGTTTCTAAACCTGTATTCCCCTGGAACGCAGGAGGAGAGATACATGATTATATACACCTGGAAAATCCTAGAGGGACTAGTACCAAACTTGCACACGAAAATCACTCACTACGAAAGCAAAAGACTTGGCAGACGATGCACCATCCCCCCAATGAAAAGCAGGGGTGTCACTAGCACGTTAAGAGACCATACAATAAGTGTCAGGGGCCCGAGACTGTTCAACTGCCTCCCAGCACACATAAGGGGGATTACCAACAGACCCCTGGCAGTCTTCAAGCTGGCACTGGACAAGCAACTAAAGTCAGTTCCTGATCAGCCGGGCTGTGGCTCGTACGTTGGTTTGCGTGCAGCCAGCAGCAACAGCCTGGTTGATCAGGCGCTGATCCACCAGGAGGCCTGGTCACAGACCGGGCCGCGGGGGCGTTGACCCCCGAAACTCTCTCCAGGTAAACTCCAGGTAAACTCCATACATGGGTGGAAACGTTGGGCGTGTTTAATGATACATGCTGTCCCTGTTCGTCTAGTAGTAAGTAGGTACCTGGGTATTAGTCTACTAGTGTGGGTCGCATCCTGGGGGCAAGATTGAGGACCCCAATGGAAATAAGAGAGACAGTCCTCGATGACGCACTGACTGTCTTGGGTTAACCTGGGTGGCTAACCTCTCACCCGGGTTAAAAATATCCGAACAAATCTTAGCTTAGAGTGGGACGACATTAAAAGTTCTGCGTCAAGCTTCATGAACAACTTGTCTTCACTTAAAGTCGTAACGTTAAAAATTTGTTCCACGACCTGTGTGGAACGACTGTTATTGACATGAACTATTTCGATCTCACACGTTTCAAACGCCCGAGAAAATTATCCAGTGTTGACGAACCTTTTACAAGACAAACTCACGCAATCAAATGACGCATCGAATATTTTCCCCCTTCTGTAATTTTAATAGTTCCTGAAAACGCATTCTCACTGCTATTGTTGTTTATGCAGAGAGAGAATGTAGGTCACAGTGTGGTTAATATTAGTGGTTGTTGGGGGTAGAGAGGGAGGATTCGTTCAAACCATCCTGACCTTGCTCACTCACAATATAAAGTCCAGCACTGATGTACAGACAGCAGATGATCTCACATCCTCACCGCTGATACAGCCATGAAGGTATTTACCCGAGTAACACTTTGCTCGTGACACTCCAGAGGTGACGCAGAAATTAGGGTGTTTGCATGACACGTCACTCGTCACTCGTGACGCTTTTGTTTTACGTCTACTCACATCAACATTCATTTGTCTTGTTTACAGTTCTTCCTTGCTCAAGATGTTTGCATTATCTGAAGATTTTAATAGATGGTGTTAAGTGCTTCATAGCTTGCAAGTCTATTTAAAATTATTATTATATTATTATTATTATTATTATTATTATTATTATTATTATTATTATTATTATTATTATCAAAAAGTGGCGCTAAAAACATAATCGAAAATTAATGAAGATTTGTCCTACCCTGATTACATCACATACATGATTTCTGTTGTTATGTCTGGGAGTCATTATGTCTGAGTCAGGTTATTCTTGATGTCATTCACCGTCAAACTGATATTCTTCAAACACTTTGAAGACATTTGGACAACTAATAAGTCTATTGCACTTTTGTAATTAGTCTGTCAAGTAACGGAAGTTGTGAGATTGTGCTTTGTGGATTTTTTTTTTCAGATGATAATAGTTGCTTTGTTGATGGTGGTGGCGACGCTGGCGAGGGCGCAGGGCGGTTATGGCGGCTTCGGTAGCCAGGGCGGTCGTGGTGGCATCGGCAGCCAGGGCGGTCGTGGCAGTTTCGGCAGCCAGGGCGGTTATAGCGGCTCTGGCAGCCAGGGCGGTCATGGCGGCTTCGGTAGCCAGGGCGGTCGTGGTGGCATCGGCAGCCAGGGCGGTCGTGGCAGTTTCGGCAGCCAGGGCGGTTATAGCGGCTCTGGCAGCCAGGGCGGTCATGGCGGCTTCGGTAGCCAGGGCGGTCGTGGTGGCATCGGTGGCCAGGGCGGTCGTGGCAGTTTCGGCAGCCAGGGCGGTTATGGCGGTTCCGGCAGCCAGGGCGGCTCGGTCAGTCAGGGTAGCTTCGGAAGCCAAGGAGGTCAGGGCGGTTATGGCAGCCAGGGCCCCTCTGCCCCCGCCAGTTACAACTTCCAGTGGGACGTCAACGACTCAGCTTCAGGCAACTTTTATGGTCAGAAGGAGCAGCGAGACGGTGACAACACCCAGGGCAGGTGAGTCTATCAGAGGGGCGGTGATAACACCCAGGGCAGGTGAGTCTAGCAGATGGACGGTGATAACACCCAGGGCAGGTGAGTCTATCAGAGGGACGGTGACAACACCCAGGGTAGGTGAGTCTATCAGAGGGATGGTGATAACACCCAGGGCAGGTGAGTCTAGTAGAGGGACTGTGGCACACCCAGGGCAGGTGAGTCTATCAGAGGGACGGTGACAACACCCAGGGCAGGTGAGTCTATCAGGGGGACGGTGACAACACCCAGGGCAGGTGAGTCTATCAGAGGGACAGTGACAACACCCAGGGCAGGTGAGTCTAGCAGATGGACGGTGACAACACCCAGGGCAGGTGAGTCTAGCAGAGGAACGGTGACAACACCCAGGGCAGGTGAGTCTATCAGATGGACGGTGACAACACCCAGGGCAGGTGAGTCTAGCAGAGGGACGGTGACAACACCCAGGGCAGGTGAGTCTAGCAGAGGGACGGTGACAACACCCAGGGCAGGTGAGTCTAGCAGAGGGACGGTGGCACACCCAGGGCAGGTGAGTCTAGCAGATGGACGGTGACAACACCCAGGGCAGGTGAGTCTAGCAGAGGGACGGTGACAACACCCAGGGCAGGTGAGTCTAGCAGAGGGACGGTGGCACACCCAGGGCAGGTGAGTCTATCAGATGGACGGTGACAACACCCAGGGCAGGTGAGTCTAGCAGAGGGACGGTGACAACACCCAGGGCAGGTGAGTCTAGCAGAGGGACGGTGACAACACCCAGGGCAGGTGAGTCTAGCAGAGGGACGGTGGCACACCCAGGGCAGGTGAGTCTAGCAGATGGACGGTGACAACACCCAGGCAGGTGAGTCTAGCAGAGGGACGGTGACAACACCCAGGGCAGGTGAGTCTAGCAGAGGGACGGTGACAACACCCAGGGCAGGTGAGTCTAGCAGAGGGACGGTGACAACACCCAGGGCAGGTGAGTCTAGCAGAGGGACGGTGACAACACCCAGGGCAGGTGAGTCTAGCAGAGGGACGGTGACAACACCCAGGGCAGGTGAGTCTAGCAGAGGGACGGTGACAACACCCAGGGCAGGTGAGTCTAGCAGAGGGACGGTGACAACACCCAGGGCAGGTGAGTCTATCAGATGGACGGTGACAACACCCAGGGCAGGTGAGTCTAGCAGAGGGACGGTGACAACACCCAGGGCAGGTGAGTCTAGCAGAGGGACGGTGACAACACCCAGGGCAGGTGAGTCTAGCAGAGGGACGGTGGCACACCCAGGGCAGGTGAGTCTAGCAGATGGACGGTGACAACACCCAGGGCAGGTGAGTCTAGCAGAGGGACGGTGACAACACCCAGGGCAGGTGAGTCTAGCAGAGGGACGGTGGCACACCCAGGGCAGGTGAGTCTAGCAGAGTGACGGTGGCACACCCAGGGCAGGTGAGTCTAGCAGAGGGACGGTGACAACACCCAGGGCAGGTGAGTCTAGCAGAGGGACGGTGACAACACCCAGGGCAGGTGAGTCTAGCAGAGGGACGGTGGCACACCCAGGGCAGGTGAGTCTAGCAGAGTGACGGTGGCACACCCAGGGCAGGTGAGTCTAGCAGAGGGACGGTGACAACACCCAGGGCAGGTGAGTCTAGCAGAGGGACGGTGACAACACCCAGGGCAGGTGAGTCTAGCAGAGGGACGGTGGCACACCCAGGGCAGGTGAGTCTAGCAGAGTGACGGTGGCACACCCAGGGCAGGTGAGTCTAGCAGAGGGACGGTGACAACACCCAGGGCAGGTGAGTCTAGCAGAGGGACGGTGACAACACCCAGGGCAGGTGAGTCTAGCAGAGGGACGGTGACAACACCCAGGGCAGGTGAGTCTAGCAGAGGGACGGTGACAACACCCAGGGCAGGTGAGTCTAGCAGAGGGACGGTGACAACACCCAGGGCAGGTGAGTCTAGCAGAGGGACGGTGACAACACCCAGGGCAGGTGAGTCTATCAGATGGACGGTGGCACACCCAGGGCAGGTGAGTCTAGCAGAGTGACGGTGGCACACCCAGGGCAGGTGAGTCTAGCAGAGGGACGGTGACAACACCCAGGGCAGGTGAGTCTAGCAGAGGGACGGTGATAACACCCAGGGCAGGTGAGTCTATCAGATGGACGGTGACAACACCCAGGGCAGGTGAGTCTAGCAGAGTGACGGTGGCACACCCAGGGCAGGTGAGTCTAGCAGAGGGACGGTGACAACACCCAGGGCAGGTGAGTCTAGCAGAGGGACGGTGACAACACCCAGGGCAGGTGAGTCTAGCAGAGGGACGGTGGCACACCCAGGGCAGGTGAGTCTAGCAGAGGGACGGTGACAACACCCAGGGCAGGTGAGTCTAGCAGAGTGACGGTGGCACACCCAGGGCAGGTGAGTCTAGCAGAGGGACGGTGACAACACCCAGGGCAGGTGAGTCTAGCAGAGGGACGGTGACAACACCCAGGGCAGGTGAGTCTAGCAGAGGGACGGTGGCACACCCAGGGTAGGGAAATCTTACCACCACCAATGTTTTCCTAACCAGATGACATAATCGTTCTTAATACATTCGCTGGGAAGCACTAAACTTTTAATGATACTACAGAGACTGTAGAATGGGATTCAATCAAATTTGATCCCAGGAAGGCTAGGTATATATTATCCAGTCATAGACAGTATATGCACTATGAGCATCTCAGCTATTTCACATGATGTCTACCTGCAGTCATCCAAAATACTCAAAACTCTCCACATTAAGGTGGTTGTTCTTCCAGTTTCTAATGATATTTACAGTCCCACTAAGACATTAACAGTCTCTTACACCACTCACCTCCTCTCGATCCACAGTTACTACGTGCAGCTGCCTGACGGTCGGCAGCTGAAAGTCGACTACTTCGCTGACCAGACTGGCTACCACCCGACCGTCACCTTCCAGGGCCAGGCTCAGTCCAGCAGCGGGCCTGGCCAGGGCGGCGGCTCTCAACAAGGCTACTACTATCAGTAACCAACCCACACTCTTCCTTACTTGTGCAAAGTGCAATAACCACGCTCTTCCTAGGTGCTCTTTCAGCAGTCTACCTTCCAATTGAACAAGTGTTTAGTTTACGGTTATTTAAACGACGGCAATATCCTAGCGTAGGCCGTCCGTTCTAAACGTCAGTGCACAATAGTTAATATTTATTTTAGTCTCTTATTAGATCGTAATGCAATGAAAACCAGTTTGCTATTCCAAGGAGTTACTTTGATGGTTGTCCGGTCATGGTAGTTAGTGAATTTCGCAAACCAGTCCATAAGTCTTTGTATATTTTGATTTTAGACCAATGTACAGTACAGTCAACCCTCAGTTGTTTCTGGAATAGCTTACTCTACTAATCTCTTGAATGCTCTCAAAGTAACCCTCAAGTCTCCTGATTATCGATTTTTTTTTTTTTTGACGATTTCTTCCAGTGGTTTCATCCCTTCTGTATAATCAAGCTTAATGAATTATGTAAATAAAAATTTTCATGATTTTCAACCACTTCTATATTTCGCCCCTTCCCCTACCCCTTTCCCCTAAATATCGCCGGTAAACAGATAGTATTATTGACCACATGTGTTGTGGGCAGAAACATCTGATGTGTTCTGTCAGTATCACCCAACTTGGACATGTCGCAAAGACTGATGATAAAATCTGAAGAAGCCTTGACCAAAGACTTGATAAAGACTTGCCAAAGGCTTGAAGAAGACTTGATAAAGCTCGTCCCAAGTCCGGTAAGCGAACGAGCACCTCACACAGACAACACAGTCTCGGACACCACGAGTTACCATCGTAGTGTTCCATCTTCAGTATTTGTAACTACAAGAACGAGGCTACGTTCACGGGCGTGTCCATGTCTTCAGCATTTATTTTATCGTAAAGTTTACTTTTTTTTAAGTTTCCAGTGACTGTTTCCTCTTGTAAAACACTCCGTTGATCAACCAAACTGCTGGTGATGAAGAGCACTGCAATGCTCTTTAAACACTACTGTACTTCTGTTTGTTATTATGGATTCTTTTGTGGCAGTTATTGTTGGTGTGTGTGTGTGTGTGTGTGTGTGTGTGTGTGTGTGTGTGTGTGTGTGTGTGTGTGTATGTGTGCGTGTGTGTGTGTATGTATGTGTGTGTGAGTATGTGTGTATGTGTGTGTGTGTGTGTGTGTGTGTACTCACCTAATTGTGGTTGCAGGGGTAGAGACTCAGCCCCGCCTCTTCACTGATCGCTACTAGGTCCTCTCCCTCTCTGCTTCCTGAGCTTTGTCATACCTCTTCTTAAAACTATGTATGGTTCCTGCCTCCACTACTTCACTTGCTAGGCTATTCCACTTCCTGACGACTCTATGACTGAAGAAATACTTCCTAACGTCCCTGTGACTCGTCTGAGTCTTCAGCTTCCAGTTGTGACCCCTTGTTTCTGTGTCCCCTCTCTGGAACATCCTATCTGTGTCCACCTTGTCTATTCCCCGCAGTATCTTGTATGTCGTTATCATGTCTCCCCTGACCCTTCTGTCCTCCAGTGTCGTCAGTCCGATTTCCCTCAACCTTTCCTCGTACGACATTCCCCTGAGCTCTGGGACTAGCCTTGTTGCAAACCTTTGTACTTTCTCTAACTTCTTGACGTGCTTGTGTGTGTGTGTGTGTGTGTGTGTGTGTGTGTGTGTGTGTGTGTGTGTGTGTGTGTGTGTGTGTGTGTGTGTGTGTGTGTGTGTGTGTGTATGTGTGTGTGTGTGTGAGTGTTATTTACATTTCCATTAAAAAATCATAATTTACAAGGTCTTGAAATATATTTTATTTACAGTCTTAAGTTTCGTCATACAAAGATTTATATCTCAGAATAAATGTCAGGAGAATTATAGACATAATGACAGGAAGAACCACTCTTGACAAAGACCTGGATCCAGTATCACTGTAGCGCGTCTTCACCTGCTCTGAGTGGAGACCAGAAGAACGTCTCACAGCCTGACTTGGGTCTACGTGAAGTTGGTCTACAGGGTTTTGGTCTGCCGGACCTTGGGAACGTAAAGTTTGGACACGGAGTCTTGACCTGCTGGACTTTGGTCTACGTAAAGTTGGTTTAGAGGGTCTTGGTCTGTCTGACTTCGGTCTACGTCTTCGTGTTATTGTGAAATAAGCTGAGTTTATCACAGTCCTGCTGAGTTGTGATATCTTCATGTAAGTAGAGGTAGTTGTAGCTTCTACACCGATGTTGTGTTGTTTGTGATCTGAGTGAACAGCTGAGATGGTTTGTTTGCTGGTAGTAGAGCAGCTGAGACCAAGATCTGCTGGTCTGAGAGTGGAGCTGAGAATGTTGTGGGTCGTATACTGGTAGTAGCACAGCTGAGACCAGAGCTTGCTGGTCTGAGGAAGAAGCTGAGATTGTTGTGGTTCGTTTACTGGTAGTAACTTTGCTGAGGACTGGGCCTGCTGGTCTGAGGAAACGGCTGAGATGGCTGTGGGTTATGTATTAGTTGTAGCATAGATGAGACCAAGACCGGCTGGTCTGAGGAAGTAGCTGAGGATATCGTAAGTGGTCTAGGGGTAGTAGCCAGGCTTTGGACCGGGTCCAACAGGGTACTGGGCCTTGCCTTCGAAGGTGACGGTGGGGTGGTAGCCGAACTGGTCCACCACGTACTCAACCAACATACGACGAGTATCCGGCAGCTGCACGTAGTAACTGTGACGGAGACAAAGTGAACACATGAACTGACCGTGTGAAACAAGGTGCACTGGGTGAACACGTGAGCTGACCGTGTGAAACAAGGTGCACTGGGTGAACACGTGTGCTGACCGTGTGAAACAAGGTGCACTGGGTAAACACGTGAGCTGACCGTGTGAAACAAGGTGCACTGGGTAAACACGTGAATTGATCATGTGTATCTATGATTCAGGTGACCGTACACTTATCTTCCTTCAATGTTGTCTCAGTATCTGTGCTTAAAGTGAAGGTACACTCATCTTCCCTCAATATTAGTTCAGCATCTATGCTTAAAGTGACCGTACACTCACCTTCCCTCAATATTATCTCAGTATTTATGCTTAAAGTGACCGTACACTCACCTTCCCTTAGTATTATCTCCATCTCTGTGCTCCTGATGACCGTAAGAGTTGCCTGACGGAGGGTCGTTGACCTCCCACTGGAAGTTATATTGCGCAGGGCCAATGGGAATAAGTCCTCCATGACCACCATAGCCGCCCTGGGGCCTCGCCACCGCCACCATCGCCACGATAGACAACACCAAAACAAATGTCTGTAGAGAGGAAAAAAACACATTACCTATAGTGACTTGCCAAGGGTCGGCAGAATTTTGGGGCGAGATAGAGAGAAATACTTTAAACGCTTCTTCTGTTGATTAGCTCAGCTACAACGCCATAAAATGTGAAGTTTCCCATCCACTTATCATGCCCACAACAATTTTGCAAAAATATAGTTGTGTTAATGTTGATAGAATTAACGACAATATGTTAGGTAAAGGGAGAGCGAAACGTTGCCACAATAAAATGTCACATTAGTTGCACTTGTGTCCTTTACCTAACAAAAATATAGTTGTGGAGCGCTCGTCTCATAACCGAAATTTCCTGGGTTCAATTCCCGAGCTGGCCGAGACATAGGCAAAACTCTCCTTACAGCTACCTCTCCTGGTCACCTACAGCGGTAGCTAGACACCTAGGAATTAGCCGACTATTGTGGGTGGCATTCTCAGGGCAGTGGATAGTATCTTAAACAGGGCTGCGATTTTGAAAGAAGCTGAGGTAGGGCAACAGCTCTAAGCCTGGAAATTGACTGGTTGATTAATGGGGGGTTAAATTTTCAACCCGTTCGACTACCCTAGGGTCATTAAGGCTCCACGTAATCATCTCACCACCAGACAAGAACACTCTAATCAGTAAAATAGGGATTCAAAAGAACTGTCAGCATATATACGCTAAGGGAGATACACCTCTCGTTGTATACATCTGAGAAAAAGAAATACCTTCATGGCTGTGTCACTTGTGAGGGTTTGAGCTCAACTGATGTCTGTATACAGACGTCTGGCTATATATAAGTGGGAAGACAGCGACAGGTGGGTGTGGTTGCTGACTGCTTCTCTAAGTCTGGGGGAACGCTGATGTTAAATATAAACACTGCCACAGAGGATCCAACATTACGTAAGTTTAGCAGCTGTCGTGAAACAGAAGAACATCGCAAGACAATCCGAATTAATTGCTATACTGCTTAAAACTTTTTGCTCACTATTATTATTATTATTATTATTATTATTATTATTATTATTATTATTATTATTATTATTATTATTTTCAATGATTATGACTTATTGATTATGATTGTTATTAAAACTACTACTACTGAAATTAATTCTAAAATTAAAACTACCCTACAAAATTAAAATATCGACCATATAGTCACTGAGTTAAAAAAAAAAACTGATGTAACTCTTACTGGACGAATTTACCTGTACAAGACAGGAAGCAAATATTCAGGACACCCTGGAAGGCAGCTGATGATCTGTTGTATACCTGGAGTGTAAAAAAAAAAAAACAGATCTGGTAGACTAGTGAAGGGTTAACTAGTTGTTGGTCGTAATCTATCATATACCCCTGACAGGAGACACTTGTTCTGTTCCATGAGGAACATGTGCTTGTTCTGTTCCATGAGGAACATGTGTTTGTCCTGTTCCATGAGGAACATGTTTGTCCTGTTCCATGAGGAACATGTGCTTGTTCTGTTCCATGAGGAACATGTGTTTGTCCTGTTCCATGAGGAACATGTTTGTCCTGTTCCATGAGGAACATGTGCTTGTTCTGTTCCATGAGGAACATGTGCTTGTTCTGTTCCATGAGGAACATGTGTTTGTCCTGTTCCATGAGAAATTATAATAATAATAATAATAATAATAATAATAATAATAATAATAATAATAATAATTATAATAATAATAATAATAATAATAATAATAATAATAATAACAATATTTCTACAAGTACATGTACAAGGTATACAGGTCTAGTTGACATCAATAATATACTACTATACAAAAAAGCCGCTTGTTATGCAGAGCAATTCTGGCAAATTAGGTCAGTTTTGTCCCAGGATGCGACCCACACCAGCCGATTAACACCCAGGTACCTATTTTACTGCTAGGTGAACAGGGACAACAGATGTCTTAAGGAAACGCGTCCTAATGTTGCACCTGTACCAGGGATCGAACCACCGACCTCTCTAGCACAGAGAACAATGATCAAGACATCTGACAACAGCAGGAAAAGGAATCTTTATCTCTCTTTGGAACAAAATGTTCAGAATGTATTGGAAAGTGCAGCGTCTAACTTCTCCTGGTTAAGTGTACCACTTAAGAGGCAAACACTATACACTTAGTTTTAACTGAATAGCTACGCACTATAAAAGAAAAAAACGAAAGAAGTCACCTGTTGTTGATAAGTTTGGTTTGTACAGTCATTCTTTAACGACTTTCACTACTTATGTCTTATATTATTGATGGTAATATTGTACAATGATGGTATTACTGTACAATGATGGTGTTACTGTACAATGATGGTATTACTGTACAGTGATGGTATTACTGTACAATGATGGTGTTACTGTACAATGATGGTATTACTGTACAGTGATGGTATTAATGTACAGTGGTGGTATTACTGTACAGTGATGGTATTACTGTACAGTGATGGTATTACTGTACAGTGATGGTATTACTGTACAGTGATGGTATTACTGTACAGTGATGGTATTACTGTACAGTGATGGTATTACTGTACAATGATGGTATTACTGTACAGTGATGGTATTACTGTACAGTGATGGTATTACTGTACAGTGATGGTATACTGTACAGTGATGGTATTACGTACAGTGATGGTATTACTGTACAATGATGGTATTACTGTACAGTGATGGTATTACTGTACAGTGATGGTATTACTGTACAGTGATGGTATTACTGTACAATGATGGTATTACTGTACAGTGATGGTATTACTGTACAGTGATGGTATTACTGTACAGTGATGGTATTACTGTACAGTGATGGTATTACTGTACAGTGATGGTATTACTGTACAGTGATGGTATTACTGTACAATGATGATATTACTGTACAATGATGGTATTACTGTACAATGATGGTATTACTGTACAATGATGGTATTACTGTTCAATATTACTTATGGTATTATTGTACAATACCAACAGGTAGATGAGCAGGGCACATGTACAACACTTGGGTATCCTCATGGGCAATAAAATTACACAGGTGTTGCAAATCCGCCTAATTCATCAATACAGACACCCAGGTGTTGCACATGCTCCTAATTCATCAATAAAGACACTCAGGTGTTGCACATGGGCTTAATTCATCAATAAAGCCACCAGGTGTTGCACATGGGCCTCAGTCATCAATACAGACACCCAGGTGTTGCACATGCGCCTAATTCACCAATACAGAAGACCAGGTGTTGCACATGCGTCCTGAATCAGTATCACGCTAGTAATCAAGGTTGTTTGTAGCCCTGGATCAGTACCATGCTAGTAATCAAGGTTGTTTGTAGCCCTGGATCAGTACCATGCTAGTAATCAAGGTTGTTTGTAGCCCTGGATCAGTACCATGCTAGTGATCAAGGTTGTTTGTAGCCCTGAATCAGTACCATGCTGGTGATCAAAGTTGTTTGTAACCCTGAATCAGTACCATGCTGGTGATCAAGGTTGTTTGTAACCCTGAATCAGTACCATGCTAGTGATCAAGGTTGTTTGTAGCCCTGGATCAGTACCATGCTAGTGATCAAGGATGTTTGTAGCCCTGAATCAGTACCATGCTGGTGATCAAGGTTGTTTGTAACCCTGAATCAGTACCATGCTGGCGATCAAGGTTGTTTGTAGCCCTGAATCAGTACCATGCTAGTGATCAATGTTGTTTTTAACCCTGAATCAGTACCATGCTGGTGATCAAGACTGTAACCCTGAATCAGTACCATGCTGGTGATCAAGGTTGTTTGTAGCCCTGAATCAGTACCATGCTGGTGATCAAGGTTGTTTGTAACCCTGAATCAGTACCATGCTAGTGATCAAGGTTGTTTGTAGCCCTGAATCAGTACCATGCTGGTGATCAAGGTTGTTTGTAGCCCTGAATCAGTACCATGCTGGTGATCAAGGTTGTTTGTAACCCTGAATCAGTACCATGCTGGTGATCAAGGTTGTTTGTAGCCCTGGATCAGTACCATGCTAGTGATCAAGGTTGTTTGTAACCCTGAATCAGTACCATGCTGGTGATCAAGACTGTAACCCTGAATCAGTACCATGCTGGTGATCAAAGTTGTTTGTAGCCATGAATCAGTACCATGCTAGTGATCAAGGTTGTTTGTAGCCCTGAATCAGTACCATGCTAGTGATCAAGGTTGTTTGTAACCCTGAATCAGTACCATGCTAGTGATCAAGGTTGTTTGTAGCCCTGAATCAGTACCATGCTGGTGATCAAGGTTGTTTGTAGCCCTGAATCAGTACCATGCTGGTGATCAAGGTTGTTTGTAAACCCTGAATCAGTACCATGCTGGTGATCAAGGTTGTTTGTAGCCCTGAATCAGTACCATGCTAGTGATCAAGGTTGTTTGTAGCCCTGAATCAGTACCATGCTGGTGATCAAGGTTGTTTGTAACCCTGAATCAGTACCATGCTAGTGATCAAGGTTGTTTGTAGCCCTGAATCAGTACCATGCTGGTGATCAAGGTTGTTTGTAACCCTGAATCAGTACCATGCTGGTGATCAAGGTTGTTTGAACCCTGAATCAGTACCATGCTAGTGATCAAGGTTGTTTGTAACCCTGAATCAGTACCATGCTGGTGATCAAGGTTGTTTGTAACCCTGAATCAGTACCATGCTGGTGATCAAGGTTGTTTGTAACCCTGAATCAGTACCATGCTGGTGATCAAGGTTGTTTGTAGCCCTGAATCAGTACCATGCTAGTGATCAAGGTTGTTTGTAACCCTGAATCAGTACCATGCTAGTGATCAAGGTTGTTTGTAGCCCTGAATCAGTACCATGCTGGTGATCAAGGTTGTTTGTAACCCTGAATCAGTACCATGCTGGTGATCAAGGTTGTTTGTAGCCCTGAATCAGTACCATGCTGGTGATCAAGGTTGTTTGTAACCCTGAATCAGTACCATGCTAGTGATCAAGGTTGTTTGTAGCCCTGAATCAGTACCATGCTGGTGATCAAGGTTGTTTGTAACCCTGAATCAGTACCATGCTGGTGATCAAGGTTGTTTGTAAACCCTGAATCAGTACCATGCTAGTGATCAAGGTTGTTTGTAGCCCTGAATCAGTTACCATGCTGGTGATCAAGGTTGTTTGTAAGCCCTGAATCAGTACCATGCTAGTGATCAAGGTTGTTTGTAACCCTGAATCAGTACCATGCTGTGATCAAGGTTGTTTGTAGCCCTGAATCAGTACCATGCTGGTGATCAAGGTTGTTTGTAGCCCTGAATCAGTACCATGCTGGTGATCAAGGTTGTTTGTAACCCTGAATCAGTACCATGCTGGTGATCAAGGTTGTTTGTAGCCCTGGATCAGTACCATGCTAGTGATCAAGGTTGTTTGTAACCCTGAATCAGTACCATGCTGGTGATCAAGGATTGTAACCCTGATCAGTACCATGCTGGTGATCAAAGTTGTTTGTAGCCATGAATCAGTACCATGCTAGTGATCAAGGTTGTTTGTAGCCCTGAATCAGTACCATGCTAGTGATCAAGGTTGTTTGTAACCCTGAATCAGTACCATGCTAGTGATCAAGGTTGTTTGTAGCCCTGAATCAGTACCATGCTGGTGATCAAGGTTGTTTGTAGCCCTGAATCAGTACCATGCTGGTGATCAAGGTTGTTTGTAACCCTGAATCAGTACCATGCTGGTGATCAAGGTTGTTTGTAGCCCTGAATCAGTACCATGCTAGTGATCAAGGTTGTTTGTAGCCCTGAATCAGTACCATGCTGGTGATCAAGGTTGTTTGTAACCCTGAATCAGTACCATGCTAGTGATCAAGGTTGTTTGTAGCCCTGAATCAGTACCATGCTGGTGATCAAGGTTGTTTGTAAC